GCATGAATTTAGCCTTATAAATCCATGCATACACTATGCAAACACGCATGTGCACACACTACACCGTGTGCAATTCTTTGGCATGTATCCAAAAACTGCGTACGCAGACATGTTATGTCACATGCACTACCCACAGACACACGCAGACATGTGCATATAACCCACATACAGCACATGTAGGTGTGCACGCTTGCACAGGCACAAAAACGCTCAGATAGGCTCACACGACTGCAGGGGTTTGGGGGAGGGGGATGGGTAGTGAGGGGCTTTAATCAGGAAATTCACCTCGAGGGGTTTCATCTAAGCAGGACTGGACGCTGCTCTTCTCCCTGCTTCAACACAATGAATTGAATCACCGAGACAGCCAGTGCTTGAAAGCCTCAATCCGCTGTCAATAACGCTAATGCTATCACAGGTTTTCTGTGAGCACTGTAATCTATTATATGGTTTCATATGCAGCATGTGGACCTGAATTCAGCCGCATATGAGACAGACACAACCATTATTCCCTGTTTGAATGAATCAAAGCATGCAGTCATTTAGACTTTTTAGAGGCATTTTGTTGGAATTAAAAGATTCTACATTAGATTTAATGAGAAGCAAGTTTTAATTCACACACAGAAAATATAAACACTCAAAAATTCGGCCTACTATTGACAATTATGTGTTTTAACTGGTAATAAATTGTGTGTCTGTTTGGATCACATAATAGAACAAAGTAATAAACTTTACAAATGAAACTAGTAAGTATTTAATTCTTGTAGTACTAATAAATCCACAATGCTATGTAATTATTAGTGCTTATTTATTTCTTTATTTTGAGACACAGACATAACATTATGTTAAAATTATCTAATCCAAATAAACTGAATATTTCTTTTTGTAATTAAAATACATAACCAAAAATACATATTAGAGCAGAAGATGTCACTTCAGTCACTAATTTCACTCGCTGATTTGACAAATTGTGCCCACTTTCCTTTCATTTCACACCAAACTTCCTGATATCAAAGCTTGCTTCACACATTCTGCTTACGTAGCATGATTTTTGTTTGTGATCATTAAAACGTCAGTGTTTTTGTAATACACTTTAGGAAACTTCAGCCGACACATTTCTTTTTGACCATTTAGTTGGTAGTTTGGTTTCTGGATTTTTTTCTTCATCCGTTCAAATACGCAGGTTGTCTCTGCTCATGTTACAAATACCGGTTCTATATTAGTCATGGCGATTAAAGCTTTTCAGTGTTCAGTTTCCATACTACACACTACAGCCATTGTGGTCTCAAGAAACTGCACCTGGTTTCCTCCCGGTGAACAGAAACTCTCCCTCTTTTAATATCACATAAGTATAGCATTAAGCACGGTGGACAGTGAGTGGTAATAGAGACATTCATAATTAAGGAGGAAAAATACTTCCTTTGAGTACTTTGGCGGCTGATTTTATGGCTGTCTGTGGACTTCATTTGTCAGTGAATTATTTTCACAACAATGCATATGCCGTCACAAAACTTAGCAGGTGTAAAGTTGAGGTCAAAATGAAGGTTGGGTTCAAAGATGGGCGTGTGAGGCTGGTGTGATCCTATTGCCAGATGATATCTAAAGTTATATTAACCCAGAATAACTGCCATTGATGTTTAAAAACTTGATTTGTGACAGAAGGATACGGGCAAGAGTGAAAAGCAAAGCTTATAAGATGGTAGCGAGACCAGCTTTGATGTATGATTTCGAAACTGTGGCACTGACAGGAGAGAAAAGACAGGAGGCTGAACTGAAGATGTTAAGATTTTAATTGGCAGTGATTGGGAGGGACAGGATTAGAAATTAGTGTATTAGAGAACAGCTGAGGTTTAGAGTTTTGGAGAGAAAGCTAGAGAGGCGAAGCTGGGATGGTTTGGATGGGTGCAGAGGGATAGTGGTTATGTTGGGACAAAGGCTGATGAATATTGAGCTGCCAGGCGGCAAGAAAAAAAGACCACAAAGAAGATTCATAGATGTAGTGAAGAATGATACGAAGAGGGTTGGCTTGACAGATAAGGTCGCGAGGGACAGGGTAACATGGAGGCAGATGATCTGCCGTGGCAACCCCTAAAGCAGAAGCAACAGAAGAAGATGATGATATAGTGCATTCTTCTACAACATCGAAACCATCTTCCTAATATCATGTAGGTCCCTCACGTGCTGCAGATTAGGGGTGTTCAGGGATGCTCAGTCTGACTGGGCTCTGAGGAGTTTGGAAACTGGATCAATGCCTTGGGCTCTTTGTTTTCTTGAGCAGCTTTTAGCCTGCTGGGAGAGGTCGCTGCTGTTGGAGAGCGTTGTTGCCATGAAGGGGTGTGCTGGGTTCCCAACAATAGGTCAAAGTATCACCCACATGAATGTGAGGATCAAAGATTTGCCAGCGCAACACTGGATTGTAATGGCACATTATTTACTTCACCTGTCAGTTGAATTGTTGTATACTGATAGTAAAAAGTGATGGAAGATGCATATTTCCATTTCACTACGTTGCTTTGCCCCATTCCACTGTATGGTCGTGCTGACCTTATTAGAATTTGTTTGCTGTTTATGTGAACAAGACCATTCTTAAATCACATTGGTCAACCTACATTTACACGCGCTATCAGATGGGATGTGAAAAGCGTGCCGCCGCAGCTTAGAGGAAGAGCACCGCGGATAAATTCGCTTTAGAGCACCGCGGCACCTGTGACATACAAATAATTTGCTTCTCAGAGGTTTACACTGCGCAAAACAATAGCACCTGTAGCGCTGGGTGACAACTTATCTGCCCCAGCTGAAACAGGAACAACATGCTCTGTCTCAGCGGTAATCTTTGATCAGCTGAAACGCTTTCTGTGATAAACATTGACTCGATCCCCATGGGCAATCACTCTATAGTACTGGCATCATGGGAGGTAATGTATGCATAGACGTGTTGAATTCGCCTTGGGCCCCTCGCACAAACACTCACACACACGCACGGACACACACACACCGTGCACAGTGAGATGAATTGCTACGCCACCTAGAATAAATACATATCAGCTACAGTGAGCTGGGCCGCTTTGCTCTTTCCTATTAATCCTCAGCATGGTGATTTATTGCAGCGTGCTTGTCAACAGCCATATAGTCCCCTGGAACTGTGGCCATCCGGGAGAAAGAGTAGAGTTTAAGACTAAGGCCCAGCAGCTGCCCCGTAGTCTATTTATGTGCATTCTGGTCTGGTCCACGCTGAGGGTGAATATATGGGTTGGTTGAACAACAACATTTTGCGCTAAGAGGAATGGGGCTGTAAAATAATCTATTTGCCATAATCCAAGTTTTAAATTGATGCCTTCCCAGATGTCATGTTGTAGAGATTTGCATTTGCCAAGGTGAAAGGCCTGGATGCTCAGAAATCAGTTGTGCGCAGGAGAGTGAATGCTAAAGGGTCCTTCTGTAAGTTATTTTTATACTGTGTATGCATGGCACTGCATATTCAGCTCTGGGTGTTAACTCATCCGTTTGATTAATATGACTTCCACTGAAAAACACAAGAGTGGCAGTAAAGCAGTGGGACTCTTTATTTAACAGCACCATCTAGTGGGCATCTCTGTGGCAAATAATTCATAATTCAAATGACAAATGAGAAATCTAAAACTGCGAATTGATCCTGACACTAAAGACTTGATCAGACTTTATACATTGATCAATTTTATGTTCACTTATTTATTTGAAGACAAGAGTCCTGCATGTAAAATGAGAGCAAGAATTGTCCTCATATAACCATGAGATTTGATTTCTGCCTTAGAATTTTAGTGAACAGGGTAGTGAAGGACTTATAATCCTGCTTTTAATATGTATATGAATAATAATAAGAAGGAATCCACCGTGGAAGTTGGTACAGTGCAAATTTATTAGACCACATGTCCCAGTGTAATGTTTATGACACAGTTGCTCTAACTTAAAAGCACTGGCAATAAAGTCAGTTTGTCTGCTTCTGTAATTGTTACTCCACCAATACGCGACAGCTCTTTAATGGAAATCACACTTTTTCATGCTAAAATATAATTGGTGTTATCAATCATTATCACAAGCGCCTTGAGGCGACTGTTGTTGTGATTTGGCACCGTATAAATAAAATTGAATTGAATCAATGAATTTACTTTTCTAAAAAGGCAAAAAACAATAAAGACGATTAGTTTTTGATTAATTTCCAAATTGCAGTTATTTTCTTACTTCCTGAAAAGAAAAATAAATTTTAGTGGTTGAATGTTAACCTTGATTAATTTTTGACTTCTCAGAGAAGTTCAGTGTGCCGGCTCAAATTTGAAATGAATAAAGTTTGTGGTTTATGACATAATACATATTAATATAATTGTTAGTTTTAAACAAGTTTTTGGCAGATTTCTACAATATTTGTGTTTTGTTTTTGTTACATTTTAATACATTTGTTCACCACTGTGTTTGCACACTTCTAAGAAGGCCCGATACATGCTCACTCACTAAAATAAAGGCTTTTTGGTACTTTTCTAAACCTACCACGAAAGCCTTGCACAGATTCATTTAGTGGAAGGTTTTTGGGCATTGTTTTTAATTTTCTTTGCTACAATTATTCCCCATACATGAGTGCCACTGGTTTGAGGGACACCAATAACTCTCCTATTAGTTTCTTTTTTTTTTTTTTTTTAAGAAGTTCCCCACTAATTAAAAGCCAAACAATTTATTTTAGACTTTTATCACTAATGAGTTTCCCAAATCTGTGAAGAGTGGTGTATAGCTTACCTTATCTTACCAAATGTCACTTAAAAAAATAATTCACAGCTACTTGAAGGAAAGAAATCAAGTAAATTAATTTTTTACTCTAACTTGTCTCTTTTCTGCCAAACACGTTACACTCACATATGACTTTAGGGTAGGATGTGAAAGTCTATATATCTGTAACTGATAAGACAAAGAACCAGAGAAACTACTGTGAAACTACTCGAGTGGGCCTCACATCTGAAAATACAGTATCAACTGTAATTATTGCAACATGAGTTTTATTATTGATATGTCTCACTAGATTTTTTTAAAAAACAAATATAATTTTACAAACACCAAAGCATCTTAAACTTCAACTGTTGTTTTCAAACAGGATGACAATTTTTTTTTGGATTGATTTAATGTGAATATTGACAGTTACAACACATGACTCAGAAAACCCACAACAGGAACAGAGCACCTTTTTCATACTGCAGACGGCAAGGACACTTTGACTTGATAGCTACATACAAAAAAACAAATAAGGCCACTCCACTTTAAAGCATTATTGTCCGTTTGAGAGAAGACAGCGGCTTTCTTTGACTGAGTTTCCGCAGTGGTAGAGGACCTAAACAGTGGAAACTAAAAAGGTCTACGGAGCTCACACATTTCACTGGTCACTGTCACGTGTTACATTTTAGAGGGAACTGCTATGGCTAATGTAGGTGATTATGAAGTTTCCAATGTGCTTTTCAGAAGAATGAACTTTAAAATGTGGTAAAAAAAAAAAACAACTAAAAAAAACAAAAAAAAACAAACAAACAAAAAAAAACAACAACCACAGGGTAGATAAGCCACTGCTCATTAATTTTCAGCAATTACCCGTATTAGAAATGTTATGACAATGAAATGGAAGGACATCACTTTAGTTTGAGTTTAAAGCTACATTAGTATATTTTATTACCTCTTGTTTGCATCTGATGAAATAAGCCTAAAATATTTAGAACACCGTTTACTCTGAATGTTCAGTTACCATAATTTCACATCACTGTTCAGTGAAATTAAATCAAATATGCTAGGTAAGCCTTGATGGTCCATCCGTGAAGAATATTTCAGTTACTAGAAATTGAACAAAGTTTGATTGGCTGTTACAGTCAGATAGTTACAATGATTGACAGCTAGATGGCGCTGTGAGGCTGTATTTGCAAAGAAAGCCCCCCTCCTCCAAAACAAACCCATCTGGTCATCTCTGCTCCACCTACCCATTTTATTTAGCTCCTCTCTGTCTCCAGCTCTGTTCTTCACCTCTACACCTCATCACTCCTTCCATCTATCTCTCACCCTTCTCTCCTCAAGCCTCTGTATCCGTTTCCATCCATCTTTATCGCTTCCTCCCTACTAACCCCCACCCCCCACCTCCACAGCTGCTCTGTCCTCTAGTGAGCAGCAACAGCCTGGGTTTGGCCTCCGGAGGTCACCAGCTCCATGAGGCTTCCTGAAGATGGTCGGTTCACCCCGGTGGCCCAGCTGAAGAACATTCTGAGGGGGGAAAAAAAAAAACGAAAGGAGGAAGAACTTTTTGAGTAGTTGAATAAAACCTTCAATCCCTTTTCATGTTCATTCTTATATATATTATATATGTACAATGTGCTGAACCTTTTGGTTCTTAGTAAGTGTGTTTGCTTTTTCCAGTTTATTTGTTGGAGTCAAGGAGGCAGAGATGTGTCTGGAAGATGAGCCACACCTCAATCATATTCCCCTGATTGTTTTATAAGATGCTGGCAGCATCAGTTCTCTTTTGCTTTCCCTCTGGTGGGCTGGTTTTATTCCCTGGGCGACATCCTGCTCTATGACTGCAAATTCACAGCCTAAAATGGTACTGTTAACTAGGGCTGCCACAAACGATTATTTTGATAGTCGACGTAATCGTGACTAGTCGACTAATCGTGGCAGCCCTACTGTTAACTGCAGTTAAATACAACGCAATGGTCACAGAGTTAGTTTCTCACTCAGATCTGCCCCTCGCTCAATACATGTGCATCTTATGTTGAAAACAGTCAGCTTAGAGCTTCATTACAGGATATCGCTGATCAGTGGTCGATGTCAAAGCTATATTTTTCTTTAATATACTGTCTGTAGTTGTAACCTTATTCTTTGCATACATTTACAACTCTTTCCATTTATCCCCCGTTACACGCCAAATAACTGATCAGCATACCTAAATTTGTGGGTTTTTTTTAATAAACCGATAACTCAACACCAAAGATGCCTTCAAATACCACGTGAGCTAGTCTGTTAACTTAAAACAGTAACATAAAATCTAAGTAAAAATAGCTTATACTGGAAATCAGTTTGGTTTAATAGATGAACAGTGGCCAGAAAGGAAAGCACAGAATAACAATAGGTGCTAAAACAAACTAACCGCCACCTTCATTAATTTCGGGTCACATAGACTGTTTCTATTTCTGTCTCCAGACCCTCATCTGTTTCCTACGGGATTATCAAAGTGGATCAAATCCCATCTAATCTTCACTGGCCGACACAGACATAAACGCAGCCAAAGCCAAAGCATTCATTCAATTGTACACCAAGGATTAAAAGAAATTAACAAATTTATCAAAGCTTTAAGTAAAGGCAGAGTGGCTCATGTAGCTCAAAGTTCTATTTGTTAATAGAAGTTTAATTGTCTCATTGCTGTTTAAAACCCCCCAGAAGAAGTCTATTTTGCCATCTTGTGGTGCAATTCTATATTTTAAATTTTATTTCTTTTTGGGTTAATGATATTCATATGCAGCCAAACCTTCAGATCCTCAAAAGAAACCAATTCCAGTTCATGAAGATGTCAGAATACATAATATACATATAAACAAAACAAATCTGTCCTAACAGATTTTTTAAGCAGCTACTTGCAAAACACTTTGTATTCTGTGTTCATGCCTCCTCATTCTTGTGCATAATTAGACATCCTCAGGTATTTCCAGTCACTTTAATGTAACGTAGTTTGATAGCTGGAAGTGTTTCTGTGATCCCAAGCATCAAAGGTAAATGTGACGATTACGGTGTCAGTCCCTGAGAATCAAAGAGCTTCTTAGTCCAATGCTGAACAATCAGAAAGAAATTCTGTTTCTTTGCCCACACCGTCTTAATAACAGTGTGAACAATTGAGAGTCAGCAGGGGGGCCGTTGTGAAGAGAAAAACGCAGAGGAGCTGTACAGCAGTTGAACGATATCAAAGCATTTAAGAAATATATTAATTTAAAATGTGAATGCCCTAATAGAGTGCAGTTGGAATTTTGCATAATAGGGCTCCTATAAAACTGAACATCTTGAACATTTCACAATTTGAAAATTGATAAAAACATATATACACACCCCCAATCTAAATAAAAACAAAGAAGATAAAAAGACTGCTTTGGCACTCACTCTGCAATATACTCCAGCGGTGTCCAGGTACTGAAATCTGCTTTAGGCATGAACTTCCTGTTCATCGGCGTATCCAAGGTAACGCTGCCAAATGAAGCCAGATGACAATCAGGGTGAGTAGCTGCGTCTGAGCAGCACAGAGGAAGCAGAGCGTGCAGACTGCAGCATCTCCACACATACTATATATCACATGCAGTTTCTGAGGGGTTGAAGTCATTTTATAAGCATACTAAAACTGTATTTTACAGAAAAATCAATTATTCCATATAAGTTAGACATCAACATTCAGCTTAAAGAAAAAAAATGTTTAGGAATTATGGCAAAAGGCACAGGAGGCTTATTTTAAACTTGAAACAGCCATCGCTCAGACAATAAGGCTTGCAGTTTATGTGCTTGAGTGAGGACATTTGCATTGGGCGTGTTATCATCTGCCAGGGCAATCCTGTATTGTCAAACTGTGTATTCCTGCAAAAGCCATACAATGGGTAAACAACATTTTCATTCTATACTGTGCTTTGCAGAAATGTTCGGGTTACTATATGGTGGTGCCACAGCATCAGAGACCTGCATGCAGCAGAAATGCAAGTCATGGGGCTAATGTTAAACAGATGTGACAGAATGCTGGAGAGGCAGCCTGGCCCCATACTGGAGGAAAATGCAGCCAAACACAGAGCGTGAGGGGTGGATACACCCCCTAAAAAGACATTTCTTTCTTCTCATGATGACAGTGCAAAAGCTGCTTTTATATCCAATAACTAAAGAGAGCGCAATGATGCAAATACAGCTGTGTGTCATTCATCTAAAGCATTCATGTGCAGATCCACTGCGTGGAACGGGCACCCTTATTCATCTTTTATTCCTGCATCTTATCCTCACCTCGTACTTATCTATCCAACATAACAAAGAATATGTGGCACAGCTAATTTTATAGCTTTCATCTTCAGTCCTTTCAGCGACTGCTTGCCGTGCTGGTGTATTTAAAGCAGCTCTATACATGACTTTTATGTTATGGTGAATACAGAACACATTTTTAAACCTGCGTCTGTAGCACAAAAAAATGACTTGAATTCATCCTACCGGTTTGTCAGTCCTGTTTTATTAATAAAAGTCTGCTGCTGGATATGGATTCGAGACAAATCTGTTCCCTAAAAATATTAAAAACACACTAGAAGAAGCAATATACAGTATTACCCTGCAAGCGGAACACCAGCACACTATCCAAGGAAAAAAAGAAATCTTTTTTGTCATAACATACATGCTTTTGCTAATACAGGAAATCTAGGGGTTTCTGTGTTACCATAAAAACAACTATTTTTACCCCATAAAAACAATTCAGGTGGGAGCTGAAAGGTTAGTCCATGTCAGCAGGACGAACAGGAGTGCAGAGGCACCTGCAGACAATTCCTTGGTGAAAATTGTAAAACCCAGTGTGGAAAAAGAAGACATGTAAGACATGCAAGTGTAAGATTTATTTCTGAGTAAAACCCAGGGAGCCATGTTTCCCTTTTCATTTCCATTTAAATTCTAATTACAAACTCACTACACACAGTAATGAACAGTAACTGTATAATATAATTAAAGCCACTTGTTTTCTCATAATAAAAAGAGCAACTTGTGTTTTGAGGAAAACACATTTGTGTGAATTGTACAGTCAAAAAAAAGCTTAAAAATATATTAAAAACTATTGTAGCTTCTTATTTTAAAAGGTTAATAAAATCATGCTAGGCCACATAAAGCTATTAAATTCTATTAGCTTCAGTTTGTTGCTTTTTGCTAGCAGGGATAAACCAGAGATTTTACACATAAAGTGTGCTCAGGATCATCTCGACTACATTTTAAAATCTTTGAAAAACAGACTGGGGATGAAAGTTGGTAAGGACTGCTTTTAATTATTCAATACTGATAACTTTGTTTCCTGTAAGTCTGGCTTTCCAGTTGTATCTGCTGTAAATACAACTAATCTAATCTGAGGGTGAGAAGAGAGCAATAGACTTTTCTAGTTTTAATCTAGCAGAGAAGACTTTTTGTTGATTGTTCCTTTAAGGACAGCACATGCTAGAGCTGCTTTTGTACACCTTGATTGTGTTTTATTTCAGTACTCACGGTAGTATAGCGACAGCAGCAGTGTCGGCAGGCATCCCACTGTTTTTTGCTGCGAGACTCTGACACAGCTGGTGGACGGCTGCTTTGGCCATGCCATATCCTATCATGCCTGGGGGTTGCAGTGGAAACATTATTATTTTAGTATCCTGGAGAAAATTCAGCTTGCAAAAGGCAACGCACAACACAATATAATCGTTACACAGAAAGTGGACGGTACTGATTTGTTGAGAGGGGTCAAGTGGACAGACCAGACGTCTGTGAATCTATGTGAGGAACATCTTGAGACTTTCAAATGCTTCCCTGTCTTTTACATGGTTTGTAAATGTTAATATCGACTTAAGGCTTGACAGTCTGCTTACTTGCATACTGAATCTGTACATGAGCCCAGCCTGGGAGAAGGAATTTTCTGACTCTTCAGCATCTGGAAACAGTAAGCGTCTCTTCCCCCTAAATGATCTTATGAGAGGCTTATAAATCCCCAACCAATAGAAACGAGGGGTGGTGGCATGACTTTGCTCTCAAGCTTTTGTTTTTCCTGCAAGAGCAAACACTAGTAAGGAATACCAGTCTTGCAAATGCATCCACTCACTGTATACTGACCAGATTAGAATGCGAATTTAGACAACCAGACATGTTCAGCCCATCATTAAAAAACAAAAATCTGATTTCTGGCTCTGTTGCATGAATACATATACATTCACCTGAAAACATTTTGGAAAGAAGGGAAAAAATAGAATTTACACTATGCAGACTCACATTATTATCTGCAATATAATAGTTCCAAAACATGTTGTGAATTTGCAATTTTGAGTTGTTATAGTTTGCATTAGACGTTTGATAACCGCTGCGCCATCATGCTGATCACCTCTCTCATCTGCTTTATTCTTCAATAACTAAGCTTAATTATTTAGTCTTGTAACAGACACACTCAATAGTTACCAAATGATTAAACTCCAAATCTCATGCTGATAATTTAGTGATTCTATCTAACAGCAGCTGCAACTGGTTGCAGAAAAACAAATGCAATAGGTGCCAACTAAGGTTTTTCCAGTTATATACTGACTCTAGGATTACCACTGCATCCACTGGAAGTCTCTTCATAGTGTCTTCATCTCTGTTCTGTATGAGAGACTGGTTTGACTACTGACTTATCATCTAGTGAATGTTAAATGAGGCCAGAATGGAGTTCTCCAAGGAATTTAACAGGCTACAAGTTGCATATCTGGGAGGATAATCACAAACCATGAAAATTTCACGAGGCCAAGCAAAGAGCTCTGCATTCCTTTTGAACTGTCTGGGGTTCAAACTCTGCTCTTAAGCTTAACTGTGGGGTCAAATTCTCAAAAAGGGCAGTCATAAAATTTCCAACCTTTTCTTCACCTGCTGGCTTTTTGTTTTTTCTTTCAGATTTCTAGTAAATTGGGTTTGCTCCTCAGAGAAAGAAGCTAAGAAACAAGATTGATGTGCTACTGGGGTATGTTGAGCCTAAACCCAACTTTGGTAACTTACGCTGAACACAGAACCAAGTCGTGAGCAGGTTTTTTTTTTTACCAAGTTTTGGGTTGAAATTGGCCGAAAGTGCCACATTTTTAGTTTCTTTTCACAACTTGCCCCAAATGCAGTATATATTCTTTACTGAAGGAAAACACTTTACACATGTTGGACCTTACTAACACCACCAAAATGAAGCTCTAAAGTAAAGTTACAGAAATGCAAACTACACAAACTGGAAATGTACAAAAAGGGAATTTTCATGTAGATGATGCAGAAAATGCATATTTTTTTGTGCTCCCTGTTATGAGGGTCATGCCCGTTATCTCTGACTGGGTTTTAGGTTTTGTCAAGACAGCAAACACAAAGAAAGCTTGGGTTTGCAAAATCTGCTGCATCGTAAAGCCCTCTGAAAGACAACGAGTATGACAAAAACTTTTAACTACTTTAAACATTTGGCCAACCCAAAATCAACGTACATTTTCAGTGTATTAAACGATTCCCTTCATTTGGTCTGTTAGCTCACACACCTGCAGCATTTAACAGCCTTTTCATCCATTAAACTTTGATGAACAACAACAAAGTCAAAGTCAGTACAATTACTCATCCTAATATCATTTCCTGTTTCCTCTTCATAGATGATCTGGATTTGGCTCATTAACTCTCCACTCATCTTGTTTGATCAAAGCACTCAAAAAAAAAAAAAAAGGATGAGTGTAGGTGCCTCTTAAACCAGTTTGTTACATTTCTTAACATTTGGTACTTGTTATTGCCTTGTGTTTATTTAGAATTTGAAGATTTTTTCCCCACATGTTTACTATGCAGAGCTCTACCTAAGTGCTCGCACTACAGAGAACAACTAAAATGCTTTAGTCTGATAAGTTAGAACACTGCATGGGGACATTGTGTGAGGACCAACAACTGCTGAGTCACTGTCTTCCTAAGCCGGCAGCCAATGAGCTCTTCGGCTCTGTGTGGGCTGCTGAGCCAGGGCTTTGTGTAGCTGTAGAATTGGATCATAGCCCATCACATGGCCAGCTTGGTCACAGGAGGGGTTTTTACAAATCACATGGCCCTGGATTTAAGCCTTTATGCACACTACATGAGCTGAAGAGCTGGACCAGTATCACATGGTAACAAGGCTACAACTAACAAAGTATTTGACTATACCAATTAATCATAGATGTAGACTTTAATTAATTAAGTTGAATAAAGTGATTTCTTTGGACTCTGTCTTAATTGGTTGTTTAAGTGGCTGAGTATTAAACAACCCCATGGACGGCCTGTTCTAGTATGTAAATAAACACTTAGGCATAAAATCGTTAATTTTAGACACTTTGTTCCTAGCACCCTGTCGCAAAAAACAAACTTAATTTGTTCTAATTTCATTAATTTAATATACAAAAACAAAGCCAAAGATATCACAGTTTCACAGATATAAAATATGATTTTGCACCAACAAGATGAATGCTGAAGAACTATTAACCAAAACACAGGAGTGGTACATCTTAAATACTACCTACAGCATCTGAACAAGGTCTGACAGTCATATCCTTAAGAAGCAGGAAAAAAAAAAATCCCTGAAAAACCTGACACAGGAACTGAGGAATGCATCTAGCCCTTCAATGAATCCATCTACTCCTCACTGAAGCCTCATGAGAAATTGTTTCAGTAGAAGGCTGGATGTCAAGAAGATATTATTCGTGAAGGAAGGCAAATGGCGAGAAACAGCCAAGGTTTGCCAGATTACAAAAAGAACTGCAGTGAAAACATGTTGTATGGAGCGATTAATCCAAATTTGCACATTTCAATAAATCGCTACACCCATTTCCCATTTTTTTGGAAAAAATTAAATTTAAATTTACTTTTGGTCTAATTTATCTACTTTCATTAACCTTATTTTTTATTTATTCACTCTTGCCCCAGATATCTTAAAACGATTAAGCAGGTCACGGTTGAGTTGATTGCGCAACAATACAGGGGAAGGTTTGTAGTAGACAAACATGCTGTTTTGGCAATCAAACCAATTACTTTTTGTTTGTGAAACAGACTCACTAACCAGTGAGCACCACTGCTGCCGCAGAGCTCATCAGCGATTCTGTCTTGCTTCCTGGATCAATGTTATCGACACATTTCGCCCCCAATCGCACACACTGCTGTGAGCAGGTGCGCCTCTGATCAGTGTGTCAATTACCCTGGTCAAAGTCTGTAACCCTGAGGAGCGGGCCATCAGTTCGCTATGATGAGAACAGTAAACACGCAACAAAAACTGTGTGCCTCACCTCCAGTGCCTGACTGGGCTGCTTTAGCTCCAGCCAGAGTCAGCAGTCCACCTGTTTTTAGGTGCAAGGCAGCAAGGTGGCTGGAGATGGTTGAGGTCCACACGCTCTGTTTCCACATCAAATCACTATTTTTGTACAAGTCTGTAGGAGAATACAGAGAACAACATCTTAGCCTGGCTCTTCAAAGCAGTGCCGAAAGCTACGAGTACCTCTACAAGGTTTGTTTGATCTGTACAAAAACTTGATTAAAAAATATCAAATTACCATTTTTACAGGATTACTGTGTCAGATTATTTCTTGGCTTGGACCAGAAACGTCCTGAAGTCTTACCAGACTGCCTGATAACCGTTCATTGCCAAAAATCATTGCTGGCACGTAACTCATCTATTAAATGGCGAATTGCTGTTTATAAACACTGGTATTTGTAAAGATTTAATACACTAAGTTGTTAATCTGAGCCGGGTAGACCAGCTGTTTTGAGTAGCTTCAATAATGCCAGCCTTTTCATCTTTGCCAGAAAGCGAGTGCCTTATCCTCCAAATGTTTGAAATGGCTGAATTTGCGGCAACCACAAAATTCTTATTAGCTGCACAGTGCACATCAATTCTGGCACTTCAAGCGAACTGCTGCTTTCCCTTTGCTGCCAGGTACAGCTATGGAATAAATACCAAAAAGCTAACTGGCAGAACAAAAATCTGGCAAGCTTTTGGCCCCGCAGAACAAGATTTAAACACTTCTAAGTAAATGAGAGTCAAGAAAAAGTCTAATCACAAATATCCCTTAGACTTTATTTAATTACAAAGCAAATTGTTTTCAAGTTCACAATTATGCATGGGAGACTGCAGGAAAGCTGGCTGATTATTAACACCAAAACAAATAATAATAAAAAAAAAAAAAAAGGTTGAACTCTGACCTTTGGAACTACAGTTTCCTCCCGCCCATCCTCCCGCCACGCACAAGATGGCATCCACTTTCTGTTCCCCTAGCAACTGGGCCACATCTGCCGTCACCTGCACAAAATGAGAGCTAACTGCTAACACAATGACATAAAGCCACTGGGCAGACGCACGAGCTGAATGGCATTTAAATGTCAACTAAGCATCAGCTGGAGAGTGTTTGTTCTGGTAAACAAACAAAGGAGGATAGCTGTAGAAATTATCCTCACTCAGTCAGTGTACTGTTAGATTTCTAAAAACACACTTTTCATTTTATAAAGTGCAAAAAATATCTTACCAAAAGCAATTATACAGAGAGAAAGGATGCTTCCGATTTTTATCAAGGTCACATAAAATGGGCAAAAAGAGATGCATCAAATGATAAATATATTTCTGTGTGTCAAATAAGACCGCTCAGATCAGCTTTAATAGTTTTACCTACCTTGGGTTTTTATACCTCTCTACCCTTAGATGCTCTCAATGAACAGATTTGAACTATAAAAGCTACTAAGGGGTTCAAGAAAAAGAATTATAGTTTAGATAACCATTAATGCTGCCTAAACAAATAAGAAAAAAAAATCATCAAAGTAATCTGACTCTATCATAACCTCTCTACTACAAAAACCGAAATCCCCACTTTCTCAGTTGACCTGAACGCAGCATTAGCTTACACACATTTTAGCAACTCTACTATTACTGAACAATGCAAATAGTTGTAATAATAATAAAAATAACAATAATAAATTTAAAAAACAACAAACAAATGTCATTAGAGTTATACCAAAGTCATATGAAAAGTCTGACTTAAGCTGTCGCAGTAAAAGCCCTACTCCTGTCTGTTAACGCTTCAGTTTTTGCACTGATGAGTCAGAAAGATCTGCAGAGCACCTGTCCTGCTTGCTCGGTGAAAGACTCCGTCATCTTCACGATCACGTTTTCATTAGCCTTTTCATTTGCAACCATGTCGATGCTGGCGACCCACTATTTAGTGCACAGAGAAAGAGAAATATAGTTAGCTCACCGTTTATCAGTGCTAGCATGCTAGCGTTAGCTGTCACCACTCACCCATCCTTTAGATTTGAAATACTCGACACACTTTGAGCCCAGAGCGCCTCTCCCACCGTAAATGATCACCCGGTTAGCAGCCATGTTCACGCTCCAGTTACCCGTCAGGAGTGAGAGCGACAGAGCTGCAGGGATTGAGCTTAGAAGAGCAGAAGGAGGAGGAGGAATAGGAGGCGTTTCTCTGAATGAGCAACAAGTTGGTTGAACTAATGCTGCGTTCAACGACTGTAGGAAATCACCCACTCCAAAGTGAATCCTGAAGCGAATCAAGCTGAGAGCTGAAACCAAAAACTGCAGTTCTTGAAATAGGCACTGGAGAGAGAGTCAATTCCCACAGCCAAACTTTACAGCAATAAAAAGCACATGGTCAATGCCAATACACTGAAAAGGAGTATAGAAAATTTAATAATAATAATGACTTTAAAAAATAACATGCTTATGTTACAGGTAAAAGTTTGTCCTCCAAGGATAGGAAGCTGTACCTGGTAACTCTCTGCTAATTTGAGTTACTGAACAGAACCTGTCCATCTGCTGTTGGTGCATTTTTGTGAGCAAAAGCCTTTTAAAAATATTATTATTATGAACGATGGATTTAGATTTAAAAATTGAATTCAATGCAGAAGTGCCTTAAACCTGAGCTGTTTTAACGGCCAACGGCAGGTGAAACACTAAAAGGCTGCTAAAAGGATTCTTTTTGAACTCTATGAAAAAATGGCTTTGTTGTTGTCTGACTTGTTGTTCTTTTACCTAATCAAACACTTTACAAAACACTTTTTAGGCTTACTCGCTGGAAAAACGTTAGTGAATGAACATGTGGCTTCATATCAGGGACTTGAAAACTCGATGGGTCACACCACAGCGGGTACATGCATCATCATATGACTTTGTCATTTGGCAATAATTAACAAGTGTGTGTCTTACCATTGAACCCAGTGACTCTGGATGAAAACATACAGTTTCTGGATGCACCTTGCTAAATCTCCCTGTCTTCAAATGTGGTTCCTTTTTATGGACAAAAAGCTAACACTGAGAGTTCAAAATGTTAGTCCAGAACCCAGCAGAGGACTAGAGGACAAGTAGAGGACAAGTGTCAAACACAAGGCCCGGGGGACATAAATGGCCTATTAAAGACTGTAATCTGGCCCACTAAGTGCGTAGATTTTGATCTTTTAACTATATTTTCACAAGATTTATAGCTTTTCCAGTTGAGACAGACTTCTTCCCCCAACCCTGTTACCATATATACTACACCAAAGTAATTAACTATCACTTAAACAATTAAGTGAAAGAAAAGTCGCTGTTTTCCGCTATCTACTGTAGCTATAGACATTGGGTTTGTTTTGTTTTGTTTTTTGTTTATTTAAAGTGAGTCTACAATCAAGTACTGTGTTTGGGAGGTTTGTTTTGTTTTTTGGGAAATTAACAAATGCTACATGTTTTATAATTACAGAAGAGTGTGGCTGAATTTCTAAAAGCTCGCTTATTTAAATGCTAAAAGGTTAACTGTATAGCTGAACCAAATGAAGCAGTTGCTTGTAAAAAGACTACATTCACATTCACATGGGAGTTTTAAATGGAGATTTTCTCTTTAGAATTTGAAAAATCTCTGTCTCAATGAAGATGCAAAAAAGGAAAGAAAAGGAAAGAAAAAGAAGGAAAAAGGTGGTGATATAACCTTAACTGTAAAGAAATGTTAGCCAATCAGCAGCCATTAACAACAGAGTGCAAGCAACAGCAGAGATTCTGGTGTCAAAAAGAGAAAAAGATGATTTTCAAAAGCTCTGTTCTTAACCAATAAAACTATTTACATGTACATGGCAAGCCATAAAAGGTAGAACAGAATAGCTGTTGTCCTTGACATTGTGTGTAAATAAAACATGTTTTTGTTCAGAAAAGGGTAAAAACATAAAGACTTTGTTTTTTTACTATACAGGCACACATAGCATTATTTCAAAATTTCATAGCTCATAGTGAGTCTACGCTCGATAGTCGCAACATTGGTGCCCTTAACCAAAATCCCTATGGAGAATATGAATGGGATTTTACTTTCAAGTCTCATTGTTTGAGTTTTATTGTAGAAAAATGTTCACGTGTGGTTTGAAAAAAGTAGATGGCCAAAATACCAAACCCAAGGCTTCAAAAACCACTTTTAAAAGTCTTTTCTACAGTTTGTCTATCACACAAGGTTAAAAGTGAAAATGTTGTTAGATGGTTTGGATTATTTGTAAAAAAAAAAAGAAAAAAAATACACATCTTAATCTTTATCTTCATAGCAAAATCTTAGTTGGACAGAGTGATTCATCTTGTCTGAAGCTTGAAAATGTCAGTGCCCAAAAGCTAGAATGGACACAAAGATGTTTTTAAATGACAAGTGCTTAAGTAATCTAATAGCCCAGGCTGCTCTGAGAATAGTTTTTCATTAAGGAAAAGTAAATGTCTACTGAGCTTTATCATACATGAATATATTACAGGCAAGCCTAGTGTGCAGTAATGCAGTTCTGCGTGAATTCACCTATAATGCTAAAATTTTGGTAATTTCCATTTTCTGTATAAAATTAATGCAGTAATTTCAGATACGTTACAAGTGGGAGAAGCAATTAAAGGCTGATGTTTTTATATTTTGCATTTGAAAAAAAAATAGCATCATTTTCACTAAATTGTATAATAGAAAAAAACTTGCAAATGTTGCAGATCTCTTAAACCATTTAATTTTATATAGTGAGCACTAGGTGCTGCTATAAGGCTACAAGGTTTACAACATAGGACTGAGCTCTGTCTTTCCATTAGTTGCTGCTGTGCTGCCTGTGCTGAGCCAAAGCGGCATGCCAACGAGACATCCCTGCCTCTCATGAATTATACAAACAAGATGGCCCTAGCTTCCTTGTCACTGTAGTGAAGCCCCGATCTGTCACCTCACCTGGATATGACACACACCTCTGCTACTGGGAATAAGTGCTTGGTTTGTCTAGTCTGATATACACACACACACACACACACACACACACACACACACACACACACACACACACACACACACAGGAAAAAGAGGGTTAGAGAAGCAAATACACACCTTTCCAGTGTTGCAAACAAACGAATTACACCTTCCTTTCCTGCCTGTCTTCCTCTCTCCAGAGAAAATATATTAAAACAAACATGCACACCCACACATCTCCTCCAATGTGAGATGAGGAGAAACTGTGTGGGTGATGGGAGTCAGTGAGGCTGACCAAGCTCAATAGCTGGCTGATACAAAAGAACACATGATAATTATGACCCAGTATCTGGTTAGTTCAGACCTGAAAAAGAAATCCTGCAGCTTCCCAACATTCGACAAACAAACAGAATTAGAGCTGCATCAAAGGAACCTGTGGCAAGTTGAGTATTTGTCAGCAGCTTGGTATCTCATGGCATGAAGTGGACACAGTAATGAGTACAGCAGCAACTGCTGTTGCAGAATGGGGTTTATTGGGGCAGTGGTGGTGCTTGTCCAGAGAGGAGAGATGATAACTGATAGGCTGCTAGTTTCAGAGCAAGCACAGGAGTTGGGGAAAAACTACGGCACTGGGAAGACAAATAAGACCAGAACTCTTGTGCCTTGAGGCGACTGGTGATTGGGCGCTGTATAAATAAAACTGAATAAGAATTGAACTCCAAAATGAATGAAATGGCAACTTTTTCTTTTACACTTTAATGATGTCTGTCCTTGGGCCTGAACTACTAAGCAAGTTTAATATACCCACAGTGTCTTTTATGTTATCTGCCTTAACTTAATGACTACCAGGCAATTACAACACAGTAGGTGTTGTAATTGCCTTAACACAGTGGTGTTAAAGTCCTGCGTTAGCAACATATGGTAATTGGCCAAAGCTGGCAACAATGTGTAAGTAACATAATCTTTAATGTTTACCTTTTGATTCTTTTCCAGTGCCTGTTATATTACTTAGATGCTCTGTTATGGTGTATACGTTCATTTTAGCACCATTCAGTCAGCCACAATCCTGTTGGTTTTAAGAACAGAACAAACATATCATCAGAAATAACTCAAAAAAAAAAATAAACAAGCTTTCTTGCAAATCTAACATAGGGTCAGCAAGTTGCCTACAAGGCTTTATGCCCCCATTTTTAGATTTATGTCATAAAGCGTTAGAGAGCAAAGAAATAGCTCTGACATAGCTTGGAGTCAGCAGGAAAAAAATAAGTAAGGAATAAGGTTCCCCCTGCTTAGAATCTGCATCCCTCATTGATGTTGGCTAGAGAAATTCTAAATGTTTAGGCAGTGTGCTAAAATGATAAAGCACTTTAATGTCTGTATAGCACTTTCTACTCCTCAGGAGACACTTCATTTATACTCTTTGATCCACCATCTTGGATGTAAACTGTTCTGGAGCAGGCTGTACATAACAGATAGACTTAACATCCAGGTCTCAGGAGTGACATCACCGCTGCCTTAAACCTGGATGAGACCTCTATGTTTTCAAAAGAAGTCTGATTGTGTAGAAGTCTATAGAAAAAAACAGCACTCAGCTCATTTTCCTGAGACTTTTTAAATACAGCATGATGTTAATTATGTGCATTATGGTCTCCATTAGAATCCAGAATGACAATAAAGGAGATCATGCTTCAGGGTGGGCCTACCTTGTGATTGATAAGTAACTGCCAGATGGGCGTGAATTGTCTCTACATTCTCAGTGAGCTCCACTCTTCCCTCTTCACATCTGTTTCACAGCAGGATTTCAGTAAGCAATATGTGACATCATAGTAGCTACTTTTATTTTTATCATCTATGCCAAATATGCAGCAAAATACCTTTTTGATGGGAAAAACCTGGAATTAAACTAATTCTAAGCCTCATTGTACAAGCCTCTAATCAAAGGAGCTTGCAAAGAAGCTCCTTTGATTACAAACAAGCCTCTAATGTTTGTATTACACAGTACCATTGTTTTAGGGGGAAAATAACGTTAGCGGCAGTAGAAGATTTTAATCATGCTGCTTCATTCTCGTGTTTTCAGCTGTGCCCAGTACTGCTTAATATTTCATTTGATCTATTCTGTATAGATAACTTAATCAACTTGTAGTGCTCTGAAAAGTCCGCAGTGGAAATAAAACAATCCCCACTGTGCGTGACAATGTGCATTACTTTCTGCAACAATCCACAGCTCCGTTCCTAAAGATTTCCTCACATCTAAACTGTGGATTGAAGCAGC